ATGCAGGCAGCTGTACAGATCGCATTAGAGCTGGACTGCAGGACGGTGAGCCTCCTTACCTGAGAAGGAGGATGATTTTCATGGAAGAAGTCATCAGTGAAGACGATGATGACATGGACAAGGAGAATGAAGAGCCCGATGACGCTGAGCATGACAACTAGCGCTGAAGTGAGAGACAAGCTTTTGAAGCTTTGGTGGTTGCAGTCAAGAATAGCTTCTGGCCACCTAGCTTGCTTGTAGGGAAGAGAAAGGTGTGGAAGCGCTTGGACGCACATCCACAAGGCAGGGTGTCACATTCACTTTGCCTAGATCATGCATAGCATGTTCACAGTTCACTGAACCAGAAACTGAGCAAAGTGCTAAAGGTCGGCACTCACGTTTCTTCAAAAATGAGCAAGTTGCATTTTCCTTGAAAAACGATACCAATCCCAAAAACGATACCTAGCCTTGTGACGGTACACATCTTGGAATCTATCTTTGCCTGTTGACAATGTTGACACTTGAGACAGTGTATGTCCAAGGTTTTTTTGCATATGGTTTGCCATGCTAGCTGGACATTCCATTTCATTTTTGCTAAATTTCCCGTCTTTTTCTTCGATGGGAAACAATTATGGGTTCAGACCGATACCAAAAACGATACCAAACGATACCATGGTCTGTACCCCCTCAGACACCACCTGCCCACTCACATGTCACTACTACTGCCACACTACTACTACTACTACGACGACGACCACTATTACTACTACTACTACTACTACTATGACGACGACGACGACTACTACTACTACTGCTACGACGACAACTACTACTACTACTACGACGACTACTACTACTACTACGACTACTACTACGACTACTACTACGACGACGACTACTACTATGTACTACTACTACTACTACTACCACTACCACTACCACTACCACTACTACTGCTACTTCTACTGCTACTGCTACTGCTACTACTTCTACTACTACTACTACTACTAAACTCCTACTACTACTACCACCACCACTACTACTACTTCTACTTTTATTACTACTATTACTACTACGACGACGACGACTACTACTACTACTGCTACTCCTACTACTATTACGACGACGACAACAACAATTATTACTATTACTATTACTATTATTACTACTACTACTGCTACTATACTACTATACTACTACGTAGTACTAGTACTAGTACACGACGACTACTAGTCATCATTTGCAAGATCACCTTCCAGAGCAATTTACATTTAGACGATACCTCCCCCCAAAAAATTGCATATGAATTGAAACAGCGATACCAATCCCAAAAACGATACCATTCTCTAAACGTACCACCAAACGACCCCTAGTTTTGCCGGTCGCTCAACTGCAACCGCAGTGGCTTTGACCTCAAGGAAAAAGGCCGCAGCCATGTTTTGACAAAAATTGGTCTTGGAAATTTGAAGCATTGTTTCGTCAGCCTTGACTGTGTTGCTGCCATGATACTAACAGGCTCGACCAGGTTTAGTGACATGAGCAAAGAGTGAAACTGTGCTTCGTCCATTGGCATTCTTTGTTTACCAACTCTTCGTGTCAAAGTCCAGTTAGCTATCGACATCAATGCAGGGCAATTTTGTTGTGTTTTTGATGTATGGAAAAAAGATCCTGAAAGAAGGTTAGCTATAGAGTTGTCAGCAGCCCCACAGTCCTTCCCACCACTGGGGCCATGATGAGCAAAAGGGATGCTTCGTCACCTATTTGTCATGCAGCTTTTGTGACGCTGATATGGCTGAGTTGGAATGCGATGTTTCCAAACAGATTGCTTTTTGTGCTCCATGATGCTCCTCCGGTGACAAGGCACTTGCGGTGTGCCCGACGGGCATTTGAAGCGAGCAGCATCCAATTGCCTAGGCATCCCACAAACGCCAAAACAAACAAACTGTTGGAGACGGCTGAACACTTAGCAAACTCGGTGCTGACCAACAAATCTGTCCTATCAAGTGGTGCTGCTGTGAATGATCCTTTTGATCTTGAAGATCGAGTGTATGCAAACACCTATGTCAATTTGGGTTCTGCCAAAGTAGTGGGATTCGATTATGATTACACCCTTGTGAGCTACAAGCCGGCCATTTTACATTTGATTTATGATTTGGCAAAAGAGCAGCTTGTTTCCAAATTCAAATATCCCAAAGAGCTCCTGGATCTGCCTGGCTATGACCCGAACTTTGCGATCAGAGGCCTTGCAGTGGATTTGGACAATGCTTGGATCTGCATGCTGACACTGCGATATCGAGTTTCGATTGCTTTTTTCGGCCGGGAACGTGTGGACCCAATGATTGTTCGACAAACTTACAGAAGTGAAACGGGTTCAGGCATCCTCCCACCGGAGGAACGGAAGAAGCGTCTCAAGCCTTTGAATGACCTTTTCAGCACGGCGGAGGCCTGCCTTCTGGCCGATGTAGTGCAATGGTTTCGATCTCGAAACATTCCTTTCGACCCTCGAAGCGTGGTGACAGATGTTTTGGGGGCCATTACCCAAGCGCATGTGTCCGGCCAGTTGCATCGCACGGTTGGCCATGATTTGGAGAGATACATCGAACCAGATGGACAGAAACTGCTCCAATTGCTGGACAGGTTCCGAAGTGCGGGCAAGAAGTTAATGCTTGTCTCCAACTCACCATTTGAGTTTGTGAACAAAGGAATGGTCTATGTTTGTGGAGAGGACTGGCGGAGTCGTTTCGATGTGGTAGTTGTTTCCGCCGGCAAGCCAGGTTTCTACACAGGCACCCGCCCTTTCAGAGAGGTTTCAACACGCACTGGCAGAATCAAATTCAAACCCATTACGTCCTCCAGCGCGGACGAGGTCTACTGCCAAGGGTCCATTGGGGAGTTAGTTCGCTTGATGGGGTGGACCAAGTCTCACCCCACACAGGATAGACCGGACATAGATGGGTCCAACATCATGTACATTGGTGATTCTCTCTTTGCTGATTTAGTTGATGCTCGGCGTCTTTATGGTTGGACTACCGGTGCCATCATCAGGGAAGTGAGCCACGAGACTGCGATCCAGGCAAGCCGAAAATGGCAAACAGCCTGGAAGGTACTGCAAATCTTGACGCTTTGTGGCCGCGAATGCCAAACAACATTTTTTTCGCCAACTGCGGATCCATGTGGAGCCTACTCACAGGCGGACACCAAAATTTTAGATGATCTAGAAAGCCTTGCAGCTGACTGGAGGAGTTATTTGGATGCCCTCCTCAATCCAAACTTCGGTTCCATCTTCCGAGCATCCAGGGATAATGGACAGACAGCTCAGCCATCTTTGTTTGCGCGATGCTTGCAGAGGCACGTGGACTTCTACACTTCCAAGGTTGAAAACTTGGGGCTTTACTCGACTGATCATCGCTTTTACCCAGCAGACTATTCCATTGGAGTGCTCCATGAAGTGTTGCACTTGACAGATCCTGTTTCAGAGGCCTTGAACTGGAATGAAACACAGCTCGAGTAGATATCACGCAGATCCTTTTTCGTAGCAGGGATTTTGCTTGGCAGCAGAACTAGCTACCCCCAGATTGGGCAGCTTTCAAGTGCCCGTCGTAGCAGAGTGACTGCCGCAGCCTAGCAAAACGGTTTCGTTTGCAAAACTTGTGAACCGCTTTTTACTGTGTAAACAACACCAGGCCAGACACCTTTGGACCAGAAATCCTTTTTGCTCAAACAGACGGTCTCTGGCCGCCCCTGAACCCTGTGTATAGGTGTTGTCCTCCTGTTGTCCTCTTCTTGTCCGCCAGTCGTCCTCTTCCTGGTGTCCTCCTGCTGCCGGCTGTGCTGGCGAACCCTTGCCTTCTTTTGTCCTTTTGGTCCTTTTGTGTCGTCCTCTTGTGCTGGCCATGCTTGCGAACACTGTGTCCTCCTCTTGTCCTCTTGGCGAACTCTGTGTCCTCTTCTTGTTCCCAATCAGTTTATACAAACTAGACGACGGATGGCCCGGGAGCGTGGAAAGCAAGAGTATGTAGAGCAATAGTAAGGCAAGATGATTTATGCGGAAAGTGTGCAAGAGTCAGGGTTTACGGTGCTTGTATGTAAATCGGTGTGAATAACAACAGAAAGAATTGTGTGGTCTATTATAGGACGGTGGGTTTCATGCGCAGAGACGCAGAGATTCCTTTTCTTTCTTTTCCACACACGTGCTATTCGAGTCAATAGCAGAGGTGTACCTGGCAGGCAAAACTCTGCATGGCACAGCGACATGACAGACGGAATTTGGCCCCACCGTCTGCAACAGATTAGAGACAACAATGTCACATTAAGCACCGTGGACCCGCTCCCCAGCGACACGCCAAATTTACACCAGCATGTTTTCCTTCCCCCAATGGCACGGACCACCGCTCTCAGGCCACAGCTCTAGAAGCTGCTACTACTACTACTACCACTACCACTGCCACTGCCACTGCCACTACCACTACCACTACCACTCGCACTACCACTCCCACTCTACCACTACCACTACCACTACCACTACCACTACTACCACCACCACCAAATATCTTGCACATGTACACCTTTGTAGCAGCAGGTCTAGAAGACCACGCATGCAAGCTGCAGATGTACTTATAGCATACATACCAATGCAGCTGTTTAAGATGGGACCCACTGTAAGATATTGAAACAGATGTGTTGTGCAAAAGGTTTCTACAGAAGAACCCTCGCAACGCTGCTGGGAAAAAGTGGCTGGCCATGATAGCTGTGCCTTGTCCACTGCGTTGCTGTGGGTCCTGCGTTGTCCTCCTCCTGGTTTTGTCAGGGCCTGCTTGGCCACGCCTTGCCCAGGCCTTGTCAAAGTATTGTCCGGTCTGTTTGTCCTGCTCGTCTGGGTTGTCCGCGTATGTTTTTGTGTGGCTAGAAATGCAACAGTGGTGCAGCATTTCATCCTCGGATTTTTTCGTGACACATATATATCCTTTTTGTTTTGCCCATGTGACCCAGGAATCAGGAACTATGGTTTTCAAAAAATGCCGTTACCAAACAGCTGGAACCTATAGGAACATTGGAATTCAAGGAGTTGACGCAAAAAAACACATGCTGAAGAAAGAAGTTCCTTGGCCCAATCTCCATTTCTCCATTTCTCCATCTAAATTCCTTGGCTCAAGGTCCATGTACTCTTGGTGCCTGTACGTTTGGCTTCAGTCATGGACAAGACCCTCTTGCAGAAAGATGACGAGGGCATTCTGACTAGCATTAGAATCGGCACGTTAGCTGAACAATGCTTGCTTTTCCAGTGTTTGACTGACTGGTTGACTGCCTGACGGCATGATTGAACTAAGGCAAGTTTAATCCTGAGACCGGCCTTTCAGTACCTCAAGTAGCCATTTGGATGGTGTTCATCACCATTTTCATGGACACACTGGCGGCTACTATCTCAACTCCTGCATTACCCTATTATGCCCGTTCCTTTCATGTGAACAATGCAGCTGTGGGCTATTTATATGCATCATGGAGTTTCACATCGGCATTTTGCGCACCCCTTCTAGGTCAGCTTTCGGACAAATGGGGAAGACGCACCATTCTCCTCGCATCTCTGTTGGGAGCGGGGCTCGCAAATTTGGGCCAGGCACGTGCGGCAAGTTACTATGAACTTCTTGCTTGGCGTGCTTTCTCTGGAGTTTGGGCTGCTGTGGGGAATTCGGCTCAGGTCTACCTGAGTGATGTTTGCTCGTCACTGGTCTTAGCAGATTATATGTCAAAGCTTTCGGCGGTTCCCAGCCTTGCAATGACTTTTGGCCCTGGTTTGGGAGGTGGTCTCTCAAAGTTTGGTTTGAATATCCCAGTCTTGGTTGATGGGATTTTGTCCTTGGCCGCTGCTGCCCTTTGCTGGGTTTACTTGCCGGAATCACCTGCATGGGCCTCGAAAAAAGCTGCAGATGCTCAGCCCAAAGGTGACCAAAAGCAACCTCAAAAAAGTATTCCTAGTAGCGTGTATGTGCTTGCTATTTCCGGTTTCTTTGGTGGAATAAGTTTTGGAACGGCCGTGTCGATGACCGCGATCTTTCTGGATGCAAAGCTTGAATTTGACTCTCTCCACGTTGGTTTCACATTTGTTCTCACAGCCATTGCCACCTTGGCCACCAGCATTTGGGGAACTGGATCCGTGCAGAAGGCTGTTGGATTGAAGAGTTGTGCAGTACTTGGATCCATTGTGAGCGGGATTCTCACTATCGGGATGGCTTTAATTCCCGGCATATGGCCTACTCTGGTTTTCATGTGCCTGTCGCGGGCTGGCACCACCCTGCGCGCCGGAAGCAATGGAACGATCCTTGCTAACTTCACAGATGCATCGAACAGGGGAACCGTTTTTGCACAGCAGCAATTTGCAATGAACATGGGGCGACTTGTTGGTCCAGTGGTTGCCGGTCACCTTGCAGTCACGGATCCTGTGGTCCTTCCGATGGTCTTCTCCGCAGCTTGCTCCATCCTCTCCGGGTTGATCCTCATGGCTGTTGCAATGCCGGAAGCTCCAAAACAGACTTCCCAAGCACTCCGAGGATTTACTGATCTTGGCCTGGGCCTCAGAATTTGTGTAACTTGCGCAGTGAAGTAGAAACGGACATTGTCAGATGATCCAAAGCCTCACACCCTCAGGTAGTGAGTCTATGCTTGAATTGGAGTATGGCAGTGCTCAAGATTGCCAGGAATTGGGCAATTTCGTGGGAGATTTGCTGTCAAAAAGGCGCTACCGTTGGATTTCCAGAAAGAAGGCCATTTATTGTGCTTCAGCTGCAAATTCCTGGTAGTGACCTTCCTTTACAGGCCTCATGACCGTATGTCACAACAGAGCCAAGGTATGCTGGACAACTTGCTTCCAGAACTTTCTGCAGACGCCGGCGATCATTTGGAGGATTTGCAGCGACTCATGAAGCATGTCGACGCTTGGCCAGGCCTTTTCGAAAGATTCCTCCTTTTCTACTAGCGATGGCCTTCAACCTAATAGCAATGGCCTCCAACCTAAGAGTGATGGCCTCCAACCTACTAGCGATGGCCTCCTAAGAAGGTAGGTTTTGAGATGTCCTTACATTGCTAGCATGCCCAGTTTTGTGATGTGCCAACTGAGGAGCTGATCCGAAAGGACTTTCAGTCCGTACAAAGCAGAGATTGCTGATGCGACGTGCTGCACGATTGATTCTACCAAGATGTCAATAGAAAGAAAAGGTGTCGCCACACAGGCTTCATTGCTTCGGTGCTATTGTGATGACACGTGATGACTAAACTACAGGTCCTTTGACTCTTTGAGCTTCAGCATCATGGTTGTAAGACGGAACAATCATGAAGACATTGAGGTATTTCCGTGTGTTTGTGTGTGTGGGTGGGTGGGTGGGTGGGTGCGGGGAGGGGTATATAGGGCATGTCAACACAATAAGTTTTTTGGCGGTCCTTGTTCTTTATTTGCGCAGCGTTGGCTCAAAGCGCGGGTGATGACATTGCCAAGCAAGGTCTTCACCGGGGCGAATGAGCAGCCGTCCTGGAACTGGACGACTCGGACGACGAAACACCGTGCATCAAACTGAAGGTGCAACGATGCTACTAGTAGTAAGAATGCTCCTACTAGCGATTCCAGGAGCCCCTAGTAGCGATGCCCTTGCTACTAGGCTGTTTGGACTGAAACTTCCGAAACCATACGCGTCCCATCAGGAGAGGACAAAAAGGCAGAGCCAAGTGCTTTGGCTCCTGCTTGTCCTCGAGAAGCTGAAAGCTCACCTGCGACAAGTCCACCGATCGAGCTGTTGCCATTTGTCAGGCTTGGTTTTTCTGAGCTTCAGTATATAATTGATCATTCACCCAGTGATTGCGGAGAGTATTTGGACAGGGTGTTGCAGAGTGTGATATTTTGCATGAGGCTGCATGCCTGCCACAAAGAGTGATCACCTCAGATGGTTTTCTTGGCAAGCCAGTAGCCTGGCTGTTGGCCAAGGTTGAAAGGCATCCCAGAGACTTTGTTGGAGGCTGAGTTGAATGAGGCGTTGGAGTGGAGCCGTCCAGAAAGCAACAAGAAGGTGCTGCACTCGTGGGATAAATTTTATGTATTTGCAAAGTCTCTTCATCTCAAATGTATATTATGGTTTCCTTATTGCAAGTCTTACATATATATATATATAGATATAATATAAGCATGATCGTTTTTATTTGGTTTGTTGTGCTTCTTCAACATTGTGGGTGCACCTGTTCTTGAAGTTTGGCCAGTTCCGCTTGGCGGTGCGTGGGCACTACTTGCTCATCCTGGATGACTCTGGTAGTCGCATTCCTCTGCGTGAAGATGAGCTCATCGGACTTGAGGTCCTCACCAAGCGTGGCAGCGAGGGAATTCCTCCGCTGGTCGGCTTGAAAACTGTAAAACCAGAGGAGAGCAAGGACTCCAAAGCAAAGGGAGAAGGAGCAGCTGCCAAGGTGGGTCATGTGATTGTCATTTGATGGTCATGTTGATTCTTGTGCTGTTGAACCTTCCTGCGAGGCTCCTGTCCCGAAGGGCAAGGGGGCACCATCAAAGCCAGTGGACTCTGCATGGCTGCTAGTAGCTGAAGGTGGCGAGGAGAGCAAGACGGAGATTCGCTGCTTCACTTTTTCGCTTTTGTTCAACGGTCTGATATATAATTGTTTTGCTTTGTTCGTGGCTTTCTTCGCACTGGCTTTTGCATAACTAGGAGTGTGTTCACCGAGCAGTGTTGTCCTTGGCTGGTGCCGGGGCTTTGCACACCTCGCTTGTTTGCGTTTGTCGGCAAAGCTTGCTTTCCCTTTTCTTGATGGCAGGCGGTCAGACTTCGAAGCGGCTTATCACATGGAAGATGGAGTTGTAGGTACCTGGCTTGCCTTATCTTGGACTGTCTATCTTAGACAGCTGCCTTTTCTGTTATCAGGAACGGGTAGCTTCGGGAGTGTCCATAAGGCAAGAGTCCGGTGCCTGAGCAATGCTTTCCTGTTCTGTTGGCAAGTACTTCGCGTCCCTGAACCAAGGTCAAGAACTCCAAGGGCGAGAAGGAGTGTTTCTTGCCCATCCCAAGCTCGCGATAGCTTTGTTAAAGGGTCTATGCGTCCAAGTGGGCTCGATGTGATGTGTTCATGTGCTGGAATGGAGGGACCTAGGGACACATCTGGCTTGGAGGAGAGAGGTGGAGAGCCATTGGTGGTGAAATGTAGGGCGCTGAGCGAGGTGCTGCGGATGTGGCTGTGCAGCACCATAGACTGGACCCAGGTATTGACCCCGCTGGCTTTTGCGAAGCAGCTTGCTCAGCATGACAGGAGTGCCATGTTAAATCAGTCACATCCCGTGTCAACAGGGCAAGGACAAAGAAGCTGAAGCTATTCCCAAGCTTTTGCCTTGAGCTTAGACCAGAGTTTTGGGTCATCAAAAAAAGGAGAGGAACACACATGCAACACCTCTAACACACCTCCCATGGACAAGCTCGAATCCATGGCGGTTGAATGCTTCATTGAGGCGATCTGAAATGTCCTTCATGCTAACTGCAAAGGGGTTTCGGCCTTGATCGACCTTGCCTTGTTTGTTGCACTTGCTTGTTCGCTACTGCGACTCTTTTCAAAGGGTCAAGTTCGTGCGGCTATGCCAGCAGGCATCCTCACATTTTAGCGCTTCATGCAATTTTTCGTCATATGTCCGGCTCATGGATGTTGGTCACGGACTGCCTTGAACTCAATTTCCTGAGCATTTCCTGAGCATTTAATGTCTTAATTGTCACTTTGTGTCATTCGAGACACTCTGTGACATTCTGTGTGCTAAGTTTGTGCTGGTGGCGATGCATTTACACACATTGCAAAGACCGGTGTGCAGACAGAGGCCATCCTCTAGCTGACAGAATTATAGTACATACATATATACAGTACATACATACGGATGTATACAACACTTGACCAAGCGTTCAAAAGAGCCAAACGTCCTTATTGTTGGGGGGGTTCTTGAGTGTCGTTGATGAATGTTGAAGCAACGCTTTGCCAAGTCCTGCAGGCCAGTTGCAAAGTCCTGCTGGATGGACTCTTGAGTGCACTGAGTCATCTCGGTGGATTGCGAATTCTTCACCGCGATGTGAAGGACTTAGGGCTTATAGGGTCAGTTGATGTCAGTTGACTGGTGCAAGTTTGAAGCATTTGGATGTCGCAAGGTCAAGCCAGAGAATTTGCTTCTTCAAACAGGTCACTCCGAAGATCTCTCGTTCACCACCTGCAGAACACTCGCTTTGCATCTTGCAGGTGGTCGCCCTGTACTGTGCGACTTTGGCCTTGCTTGTTCCGAATCTGATCCCGAGGACTGTCGGGTTTGCTTTGATCGCTTGGTACCTTGTGGAGCAGTCATGACTCCAGCCAACTATCAGCTGCTAGGAAACAAAGCGGCGTGTGGGGTCTCCAGGGTACATTTCACCCGAGGCGACTCCTACCCCTACTACTACTACTATTACTACTACTACTACTACTACTACTACTACTACTACTACTACTACTACTACTTCTATCATGCTTTATACTTTATTCATGATCTCATCATTTATTTTGTGTTCTTCCCATATTCTCATGGCAGGTGCTTCTTGGATCTGCATGCACCCACAAGGCACCTGACAAGGAAAAAGAGAGCGTAATTACCCAATACCGTTGTTCTCAAAATTCTTGCGCAGTCCTTTTGCTGTAGCTTGTTGGAACGGATTGCATTTCCTTCGAAGGCTGATGTTTTTGCGGCTGGTGGGTCCGGTGCCTCAGTTCCAGCCATCTCTCGCCAGCTTCGAGAAGAACGCCTTGCGAGGACGCTGCACTTTGCAATGACTGGGAGTGCGCCGTTTTTGGGCAAAGACATGGCGTGGCCAACTCGTTTGCTCCAAAGAGTCGATGCAGTTCTGAACCAAGTCCTACAGCCAGGCCAGTACTCTCCACAAGACCATGTTCGAGCAGGACTGGAGTGCTTTGTATTGAGAAGACATGAACAACAATTGGACAGTAGGTTGGAGGCCATCGCTCTTACGTTGGAGGCCATCACTATTAGAACTATGTAGAGGGTGGAAGGACCTGACAGTTCCCTGAAGCCGCTGTAGCTAGCAGTTTCGCATTGCGAAGCAGGTGGGGCAGGTGTCCGCTTAGCTGCTAAAGCCCCCGTTGCCCAGATGGTGCCTCCTTGCACCCCGTACACATGTCGAGGCACAGGCCCTAAGGTGTGTGCATGAAAAGATTTTGGTCCAACAAGCCTACTTCAGGCTGGCACAATCGGGACATCAATACAAGCGGAAAGGATGACCAGGAACCTAATGAGACCCGGTACCAGTCACGAACGAGCATGAAGTAGCAGTGGCAACCAAGCCATGGACCATTTGACCAGCCCAGGCCTCCAGTGACGGAACTATATAAGCATGCAGCATGTATGCAATTTAAGCAATGCAGAAGAATATTTGGACCACCCAAAACAACAAAGACAACCAATTGAAACGCTTGACATCCAAGCAATTGTGTCCGCCACCATTCGAGCAATTAGCAAACGAACTGGCTGAGCCAGCGGCGGACCAGTCGGGCCGCTAAATACTCACCAAGACTACGAACGAAGCAATCAGTCAGGCAAACAACTAAGCAGGAAACCAAGATGCATCGCAGCGCTTAATCAAGCAACCAAGCTGGGCAAAAGAGCTCTCAACTATCAGATAGGACTGACAGTAATCCATAATTTGTTGCTGCGCTGCGAAACCTTAATTCCCGCACTCAAGTTGCAATCAGGGAATGCCTTCCTCTCATAGCCGAGATAACGAGCTCCAACCTGCAGGTGTATTACAACTCGCCGGAGAACGACAAACACAGCAGGGTGCCCAGGCATTCTCTCGCTGTCACGGCTGTCACCTCACGCTTTGGGGTTGGTCGGTGGTCGGCCTTAAGGTGACCAGTGCAAGGAGTTTGCCTGCCTTCTTCTGTGAGAGCCTGAACAGTTGAGCCAGTCATGTGAATCTCAGTTGGTCGCTATTTGACTGAAACAGGGGCTCTGCCATTTAGGCGCAGAGGTATCGAATTTCCAAGAAAGCAACATGCTGGAACTAGGTCGAACTTTTCAGCTGCTAAAGAAGCAGCAAATTCAGCCATTTGGGTAATCCCCCTGTGACTCTAAGCGGACAAGTAGAGATTCGAAACGGGTGGGATGGCCTTGAAAAGCCAAGGAACCCATTCCAACCCACCGGCTGACCACTTTCAACTTAGGAATAAGAGAAATCAGGCGCGGCCTTGCCTGATATCAAAGATATGATATATGAATATAATTGACTATATATGATATGTGTCCTGTACGCTAAAGAATAGCTTGGAGGTGGCCGCATTTTTTTTCCAAAACATTGTGGCTCCGCTGAACGAGGTAGGGGTAAGCTATAGAATGAGATCTCCTGTACATGTATAGGGCTGTGGCATCAGAGGTACGAAAACTTGGAAAGTCAGACTCCAGAGCCGCACCAATATCGAGTTCAATTGAAGATGTGGGAAATATGACCATTACGTTTAGTATTTAAAAGGTCGCTAAGGCCAAATGCTTGTTGAAGGCAAACCTTGAAGCAACGCCCTTGGCCAAGCGGGGCAATCAAGTCTCGTTCTGCAAGTCTCGTTCTGGGTCAGCAACGGACAATCTTCACTCAAGTGTGTAATCAAAAATAATGTAGATACTCACCGCGAAAGGTTTCACTCGGGGACTGCGAAACATGAAGAAGTTGAGACCCATCGCTCTCCTACAACAGGTTCATAAAGGTCTTACCTATATACATCTTTGCACGCACCCATTTTAATGCATGTAACTTATGGATCGGCTAGCTCAATATCAAGGTCGGGTGGAATTGAACTACACAGGTTTTACATGGAACCAGAACGTCACACGCTTCGTTTGGTTTCACTCCTGTACCATACCCACATTTCTTTTCGCTTGACAATGACTTGTGCGACAGCGTTGTTGAGCGCAAGACAACTCACAGCACGTTTTGCCTGAGCGCCAACGTGACCCTTCCAGTCAAGTCCCCTACGAATCTTGACCAGGTTGTGCAAACACAATTGTCAACAATCAGGAACAATTGTCAATTGTCACCAATTTGTTTCACAAAAACCTTTTTAACCACGCACCCTGGCCATTCTTCCTCAGCTTATGCTGAGTGTATTTCCTACTTATGCTGAGCTGTTCAAGGATCATAAGTAAATAGTTAAAACTTATAATATATATATACACATTTGCTTAACACTCTTTCTATAAATGTTGACCGCAAAGCATGTCTTAAATTAAAGAATTGTGACATGTTTCTATAGAGATTCAAAGCAAGACGCATCAAAGTCGAAACTCCCCTGACCTGTCGACAAACAGTTGAGGAATTTTTGGCCAGTAGACTGGCCAGACAAAAGTTGCGCTTCTTGAAATTCAAGCTCAATACGACCCTTTCCTTGGCCGGTCATTTTTCACACCAGGAAGCCTTTTGTTATATTTTCTAAAGCCGTGTGATAATTGACCGCTCCACACCTGCCACAAAAATTGGACGTGCTAATTCAATCCGCAGACCCCACAGTGTTTTATGAGCACGGTCAACGCGCATACACTTTTGTCTGCCTGAAGTATGGACAGGCTTGTTGATTTACCAACCTTGGATTGAGTTGTTTGCAGTCGCTGTGGATTTTGCACACACTGAGACGACCGACCGAAGATATGGTGTCCCATTCAGTTTTTGTGACTTCGGTGTAAGGTACGATATGGCAAAAACAACATCAGAATCTATGCGTGTTCACCTTTACATTTGCATGTGGTTGGCAAATGTGTACTTCCACGAGGTCCAAAGCACCTGAAGAGCGCCCGTCAGCCGCGGAGGCAGGCGACCACGGGACCAGATCCAGATGCGCCGAGCGATCGTGGACAGGCGCTTCGAAATGCTTGGATTGGACGAAAGGAAGACCTCAGCCTGAGGTGCCAACTTCACATGCAAACATGAAATGAAGTTGACAGAGCTTGTTTTAGGAATTTCAGTCTGTGGTCCTGATAGTAGTGCTTGATTGAGGCCACCTTCCAGCATGGCACCAGGGCGAGCTGCAACTAATCCAGGACTTTCTAACTACAAATAGACCTTTCTCACTCTACAAAAAATACTCTGAAGGACCACCAAAAAAACATTCTTTGTAGTTGAGATTTGCCTCAGCAGGAGTCAACGCACTTATTTTCTATGTCTAAAAAGGGTCTGCGGTTGCATGGACAGTGTCATGTCTTCGCTATTTACAATGATCTGTACTACTCTCAGTCACGCATGTTCTCACGCTGCACTCCCCCTTGAGGCATTTCTTTGCCTCAACATTCACGGCCTTCGGCCAAAAAGTGAGCCAAGCTCAAGACCCTACTATTCAGACGTCAAGGAAGGGATCATAGCTGCCACAGGCCTCAAAGCTTCCATCACTTCCATATTCGAAGTTCATCCCATTCCTGCTGAGTCATCTCAGCTGGAGGCTCCTTTGCTTTCTTCCAGCGCCTGCAAGGCGTTTGTTGCCATTTGTCCTGGTCCTCCAGGAATGCCTGCAGTGAAGTCTTGGCTTCCTGAAGCAGCCCGTCCGCGCTCAACTGCTCCTCCTTTCGCATAGCCTTTGCCCCTCAGACTCCCATCCTGTGCCAGTGTCGAATCCGGTGTGGAGAAGTCTGTTGTTATTGTTGGCAAAGTAGATGAGAACGTTCCACTGCCCACATCTTCACCAGCAGCGGGAGCAGCCACATAGCATGATGTACCATTCTCTGTGGTACTAAGGACCAGCGAGAGATCAAGACGAGGCATCTCTTGAGATGGTCTGCTCTCAAGTTCAACGGCTTGTCTCATCAGGTCGTTGCGATGATAAAGCCGCGATCCCACCTGTACCCAATACACAGGGTCAGAACCAGGTGGTAGATCCCAGTTCTTCTCCGAGTCCGTCAAAGCTTCCAATGCTTGCCGCAAGCCATCAGGTGCATCTGCCCATCGTTCTGCTGGTGGCGTCGGAGGAGGCGCTTTGGCGATCGCCTTTGCTGTTCTCGCCTTTGCGCCAGGATCCAGAGCGCCCGAAGCCCACGATGTTGATCCAAAGGACACCCTTGGCGCAGCAAGCCCCGGAGGTGCTGCTGCTGGCTGCTGAGCTTGTTGCGCCCGACCGTTCACTGCCAATATTCTTCTCCTTCTGTGCCTTCGCAACAGAGGGAGTTGACGACGGTGTCATTACTGTTGGAGCCTTAGCGAACTCATACCCATGTCCTGAAGACGCGGCACGCGTCATCCGGTGCGCTCTTGCTTGGGCTGCCTCAGTGGCTCTCATATCATGTGGAATGCGCAGGTGAGGCGGGAGTGTTTCGGTTCTTCTCGCCCACTCGCCAATCGGTCGCTCCCCCACATAATAACACACTACCTCAGCATCTCTGGCAGGTTCACGGAGCTCGAAGAAGGTGTAGCCAGTCCAACGTCCTTCAACCTTATTGTCCTGCCTGTCCTCTTTCGCCGGAGGATCTACCCAGGAGTCTTCCGTTGGTCTGCCAGGCTGCTCACCATTGAGGTACTTGATGGTAACTCGACGACCTGTCAAGACCTGTTCATCCCGGAGAGGGTAAGAACTGTGTATAGGATGGCATCTCTGATACCGCAGCTTGCAGTGAATCCTCACCACAAAGTTCTCCACGACCATCCACCTGTCAGAGGAACCCAGAGGAGGTTTGTCGAATGGCGGATCTTTCAACCCTCATCATCTTAACCATGGCGCGCGGTCGGCAGCTGCTCGAGGCAGCATCACGGGAGCCCTCAGGGCTACTGTGGAGAGGGTGGTTCCCCGCAGGAGGTTCATTCCGGGCCCTTCCTGATTTTTTCTTTCTTCATGCACTGTGGGTTCATTTGGGGCCCTCACAGTGGATTCAGTGCCCTTTTGGAGGCACTCCCCCCGGGGAGAGTTCATCTTCTTTCTCCCATCTTTTTTCAACCTTCCTTAACCAGGTTGTCCCTAAGATCATCAGACACGCTGCAGCAACATCCAGTGCAGCTGTCAGTTTCACTGGGCGAACAAAGATCAATGCCGCCACCATCACAACTGATGCTGCCCTCAGGACGATGCCATCATCCTCGTTCCGGCTCTCATTAACCTGCAGCGTTCTCACCATCTTGGTCTTCATGGAGCCCATCAGAACGTCTCAAAAGCAGTGCCTTGGAGTGCCTTAGTCAGGCCATCTGCAGGGAGCTCAGAGCCTATAACATGATGCACGCAACTGCTGACCGTAAACCTGCAGCGCGTAGGCGTAGGTGTCTTGTTCTCCACGCCCCCACATCACCCATGCACAGGCTCAGGGCGCTACGGTTATCGCCATAGATGCACCTCTGCACATCCGATCTCGTGAGGCACTCAAGCAGAGACGCTACCCCCTCTGCTTGCTGGTGACATTCCATGTAGCTCAGCAACTCAGCTTCTGCAGTTGATCCAGTGACGAACGGTTGCCTTGCATGAGGATGACCACACCACTGCGCATCCCGCAACTGCGACGATCGTTCCCTGGACAGATTTGAACTGCTCCCCTACTGGTGCAAATGTTGCATGAGAGTATGCCTCCACTAATTTGGGTACTTAAGTTCACCCATGTCCCCGAAGGAGGCTTCACCATCACACTTTTCATAGTGTAGTCCCCAGTCAGCTGTCGCCTTCACGTAACCAAGGAGTGCTCTTGCTTGAAGCGCCACCTCCGCCGGCTTGCGACGCATCTGTCGGCTGAGCACGCCCGTTGCGTGAGTGATATCAGGCCTTGTTCGACCTGACAGCCATTGCAGTTCACCGACAAGTCCTTGTGCTTCTCGGAGGGTTGGAATGTCAAACTGTTCATCTTCATCTGAGATTGTCACACCCCTCCACTTCACGCACTCCACCACCCCTTTCCTTGAGCATAGGTCCAGGATGTATTCCTTCTGGTCAAGGTGGTATCCATTGGTTGTTCGCTCCACCTGAAACCCACAAAACTTCAGTCGATCTTCTGGGCCAGAAAGAACTTCACGCTTGGAACACTTCCACAGCGTCTCAATGCATTGCAGTGCTCCATGAACTTCCGCTTCTGGGCCAACCGTTACAATGTCATCGACATACGTTGCGAAGTAGCCACAGATGTTGTCCTCATTGTTCAGGATGTACCAGATGTTGCTCTCGGCAGACTGTTCTAAGTGGCGCTCTTTGCCACTGCGCAGCCATTTTGCATCCAGCATCTTGAGGTTTCTGTGCTGTGACCAGTCTTCTGGAGACTCTCTGAGTCCGTACAGCGCTCCTTGAGCTTCCCAAAGACACCCTTCAGGAACTATCCCCAACTTTGTCACCACATGAGGTGGCTTGATGAGGGTCACTTTGCGCGCAGTTGATCTCTTTGGTGCCTGCAAGAACGCTGATGTGATGTCTGTGGTTCCCAGTGCTCAATCATGCTGAGCTGCAATCGTCGCAAGTAGTCGAAGGCTTACTGAGTCCAAGCCCCCCGTTGAGACCGTCACCGACTCATCCGGAGTGCCAACGTTGCCACAGCCCACGATGCGAGCCTTCCTTCGACCACATGGAGCCTTTCTTCACCAAAGCAACTTGCCCGGGACTACCTCCACCGTCACGCCGCTGCTGATCAGGTCGTTGACTTCTTGAGGAGTTCTTTCAGGGTCTTCGTGTTCTCCAAGGTGTCGACCTCATTACCAATTGGCTGCATCCAAAGTTCCCTCTCGGCCAAGACCTGCTTGTTCCCAGTTCCCAACCAGGTAGGTTTGCAGCGCTTCGGTTTCCTGCACAGTGGCCTCTTTGGTTTCAGCAGCCGATGCCTTGAGCACCGCCTTCGTTTCATTCATGTTGTTCTGTGCTTGCCTTTGCAACCAACGAACATCCCGACGAAGGTCTTCAAGCCAGCTGAAGTTTGCACCGGCGTCACCTGCTACTCCCAAGGCAAGTTCATCTACCAAAACTTGCTGAGCTCCACTCAACACCTCCTGGAGCCAGTCCGACTTCTTTGACAACGCTTTGATGGCCACAACGAATTCTTGTTGTACCTCATGCGCAGGATTTAACTCCTGACAGAAGCCGCATACCTGCTCATCATGCGCTTGATGAAGTCCACAGCTTTGGCACTTTTTCATATTGGCCACACTTGCCTTTTCCTCCGCAATGAGTCGCTGGACTGCAGCTTGAGCTTGACCCGTCCACTCCCCCCCAGTTGCTCCAACTGGTCGATATAGTCGATGTGGTGGTTGCTTGCCAGTCACGCGAAATCGATGTTCTGCGACATCCTCAGCGGTAATCTCAACCGAGGCATGTTCGGCGAGCTGATCCTCAAAGTCTTCAGCAGATTCTGCATGTTGGCCTTCATCATCCTGGGGCTTCTGCGTCCGATGGAGGTTGAGGGATGTCATCAAACATTTCCCAAAATTCAGCAGCTGCCTTCAGTTGCTCCATGACGCTGTGTTCGCCCCCACCATCCGCAAGGTGTTGGATTTGCTTTGCAGCATCTTCTCCGCTATATTCCACTGCGCGAGGCTGCTCAGGTTATTGGACTTCTCGAACTCCCCCAACCTTCCGCTGGACCCAGCACAGTGCCCTGCACCATTGGATGCCTTCAATCATCTGCAACACGATGCCACGTCTTTGTGCGAACCATGACATTTGCTCCATACGGAAGCAGCCGCGGAAGGCTAAGGCCCATGCCACGAAGTTGACCTCTATGCCTTTCCTCTGCAGAATGTTGAATTGCTGTAGGCCAGTCACCCATCTGGAGTCCTGCCGGCTTCAACAGCGCCCGTGCTGAATTCCTCAGGATGCCAATTTCAATCTCTGCCCTTGTGTTGCCTGTCGGCTCATCTCCAGCAGTGAAATTTTGGAGAATGTCCCTGTTTGCAACCCACTCACGAAATCGCTTGGAAACAAATTCTTTTGCCCTGTCCGTTTTCACCGACAGCACAGCGATCTGCAGGGCTTTGATCCATGCATACAGCTTGGCGGCCACTGCAGTGAGGACTGTTTGCTCTTTGCGGTTCAGGAGCGGTGCAGCCGATGTCAAACGCTTGACATGTGTACTCTTGAGATTCTCAATCTCCTG